GTTCTTAATTTAAACGTCATATTGCAAGGCTTTCTAGACATATTTTGTGTGGGTAACCTTAGAAAGACTGTTCTCAGTGAGAAATCCCATAGCACTAAGGTATGATGAGTAGTCATACTAATAAATGTTATTAAATGTACCATTTCTTTAACGCCTCATCCAAGACTGAATGAATGATTATCATGCTGGGATCAGTCCTGGACATCCAGGAGGGACTGCTCCTCCAATTTCACCTTACAGCGGAGGAACAGCAGGAGAAACAGAGACACACCACAGAGCAGCCTGCCTGCAACCCAGCCAGGGACACACAGGGCGAATGAGCGCTCTGTGGGTCCCCGAGCTCACTGGGGTCTCCTGCATTTGTACGGCTCCTGTGCCCTTTCCTCCCTATCCTTGAAGAAGAAGCTGCACCTAAGAAACTAACACTTCACCCAAAGGACCATGCCAGGTTGTGACATGACAGTGGCATTGCAAGCCTTGCCTGCTGGGGAAGTTTTAAGGGGGGACTGACCTAGTTAAAATTAAAGCCAAATCTGCAAAAGTGGCTCAGCAGCAAAAACAATAACTTTGTTTGAGAACTGCCTTGCAACTGTGCAATTCAGTCGTCTCCTAAGGAGCTCCCCTTGTGCCTCTTCTCCCTCTTCCACCACGGAAGACAGCGGAGAATCAACTTCCAGCCATGTCACACAATGCTTTCCTTTCCTGGGCAGGCAGTAAAGTGCTGACTCCCAACAATTCCTCCTTCTGAAGTTCATGAGATAGTTTAATTAATTAGCAGGCTCCCCATATCGCACACTGCACCTGAAATCCCACTTGTATTTTTGAAGCAAGTAATTAAAGTCAGAGGTACTTGAATAAACAGGCACTGACAGAGACTAATATTCTATCAATATAATGAAGCAGCTTGCTAGACAGTAAGATGTCCAGGCTCAGACGTTAACTGAATCCAAGGGCAAAACATGCCTTGGCTGGCAAGCACATCCTCTGATGTGGGCAATCCCAGGTAAACCCCCTGCAACTTCACCAAAACTAATCAAATTCCGGGGAGAATTTGGGTCATTAAATCTGTCAGGGGCCAAAACAAACAGAAAAGAAGTAAGGCTGCTGCCCTCAGAGCACAGAAAAATAGTAATGATTAACAATTTCAACACCTTCCCTGCAGAGACTGCAATAATTAGCCGGTAATTATCGGGCACAATTTTCTGTTACATAGAGGGACTAGCAGGTTATCTGCTTCAAGGACAGCAAATGCAACTTTGCTTCCTTCACGTAAAACTGAATGGGAAATGCCACCACTGGCAGCCAAATCCCAATAAAGACAGTGCTTCATCATCAGCCACTTATTGGTACCTATCAGAAACCACTTTGCAGTGCCATAACCCAGCATATTGCCCCTGGTTATCACTGCTGCCAGGAGAGTGGGTTCCCCTGTACAGTCCTCAGAGAGGAACATGGGCATAAAGTGCAAAAGACAGAAATAGGCAGAGAGAAAGAAGAAAACCCCAGTCACTTACTTGATATTGTCAAGACATCCAGATTCAGGTTTCAGTATGGCAGTATGATGAAACATTTTATAGAGAGCGATCCCAAGGAAGATGACATTAAGCTGCAATGGAGGGGAAGGAGAAAAAAAAGAAAAAGGGTTACATGACACAGCACAACATGATGGGGAGAAAGTCAGCTGCTCCTCTGTAACAGATGAGTTGCTGTAGAAATTACCTCTTGCTACAGTTTTATAGCAACTGAATCACAGAAAATTGCCAAGCATTTTATAAATTGAGCTGGCCTGTAGACTGCAGGACTGGTGATGCCACAGCATTACCAAAGCCATGGCGCTGCGTATGTTACTGATATGGGGCTCGTTCCAACATCAATGTAGTGCTTCAAACGACATTATGGAAAATTAAAAATATTTGCTGTAACAGCTCTTCTGTGTCTGAGAGCTGTACAGTTGTGAAAAGTCATTCCAAGCATCTTGCTTAGCTGGCCCCATTGCAACGAAGCAAAAAAGCATCTTTTTCTGTGAATACCACTTAAATATGGTGTAATGGGGGAGATGGACAGGGAAATCACAACTGCTAAAGATGCTTAGCACAATGAAAAGCCGAAAAATAAAAAGGAAAAAGAGTTTGATTTGTTCTGTAAAGGATGTCATGCTGTTTGAACACCTCAGTGTTAACAAGGCTGCCAGTTCCTGGAAATGATTTCCCCCAAAAGCCCAGGCCAGGGTTTGAGACATAAGCAAACAGGGAAGATGTCTTTTTATGAATTAATTGCTTAAGGGGAAAAAACTCCAACAGTTCTAGCTGATGGTGTGGCCCTCTTCCTGATGTGGAAGGCTGCTAAAATGGCCCCTAGTTGCAGGAGAGACAGGAGAAGCAGGGACAATGTCTGCATTGAAGTGAGAGCGCCTGCTTTCCTATGTTAGACAAACTGTAGTCTACTCAAAACAAAGGATGGTTTATTTAAGCCATATTGCAGCGATTAAAGTATGAGAAAACTCCAGCTGCCTCTAAAGTTGAGTTCTCTAACTTGCTGCTGTGTTAGCTGATATGCTGGCAATGTGCTAACCATGAAGTCACACGAGCTTCAACTTCTACTGGGGAGGAAAAACCACCTTCAAACCTCCCTTCTAGTTTGGATTTTATTTCATTCCCCTCACCCCAGATTTCCCTTTTTTGCATGATCGATGCAAAGCTTCACTCTGGAATTCAAAAGGGGGGGGCGGGGCAGTGAATGGCATAAAATTAGAGTCTGGCACTTCTGAATGTCCAATGGTAGAAACCAAACTCTGCAATCACCCGCTCCAAAGTCCCCAGCCCGTTTTGATCAAGTATTTTGCAATGCCAAGAGCCTCTTGTAATGAGGGTCTAATTGCTTGTGCCAGGTGGGGTCAAAGAAGAACATGCCTTTCTCAAATTAATCTGTGTAAATTAAAGATAAAGAGTAAAGGGACAGCAAAAGTTTTATTTTTTGACCTGAGAGATGGAGTAGTTAATTAGGAGTTCTTACCATAATTATCAAGGTCGCTGGTCCTATAAAGCTCCAAATGAAGTAGGTGTCAAGTCGGAGCCAACATCTGTAATGAAACACAGGGGAGAGAAGGCATTCAAGGACTGCACCCAGGACATACATCAAGACTGTGCGAGTGACAGAGAAGAATGTGAGCTGCAAAACACGCCGGTGGGAGACAGGAAATATTACATTGCTTGTTCATTTAAATGCTGAATTATGTGCCCAATTTCTGACAGCGCTATTGATGGAGTAAGATAATTACCTCTGGAGGAAGCAGGGAGAAAATGGCACAAGGCCTAGTTGTTAAGGCTTTCTGCATCTGTTCAAAAAAAACTTTAAACTATGGTTTTTTTTAAGGAAGGGGCCCGATGAGCATCCACAGAGCTGCTTCTTCACTTCAAGCTCCTCTTTCCTCTCCAGCTCTGATGCAATGCAAGCTGTCTGTCAACTGTCAAGGAAGATGACATTTCTCCAGCAAACAGATCAGAGCAAATTCGGTGCAAATAGGAAGCACGATAACCGAAAGCTGAGGTTTAATTAGGTTCAGCAACTTCCCCTTTAGAGCGTTTTATTTCCCTGAACCTCCGGAGTGTTTTGTTTCCACTAATGTTTCAAGGGTTGCATATGGTCTGTGCTATCACATGAAGTTGATTCATGGCCTAAAACTAAATTATTAATCGCTTAATTTCAACCGCATTTAATACTCCCCACACTTTTTAAGGCCCCTGGGAAATTACATTTCCATTCCTAGTTCATTCCAGGCGACAGGAAGATAAAATGGAAGTGACTGGTTACAAGACAGACGAATATAAATTCCAAGAAAGTTTTGCACGATGTTTAAAATAATAATATCTTGTCGTGTTTGCAATGCTGCAAATCACAGCTCCGTTTATACACAGAGGAGAAAGAAAGCATAAAACCACTCTTATCCTAAACATCCAACGGAATTTCATAATTAAGCAAGCAACAGGAACCGTATATATGAATTTATCATCGTGGAAGAGATAGCAGTTCTCACAAAGGACAACTGCAGTGCATGTGCTGCACATTTTTTTCATTTTCAATGGACTCTGCAACAGGCAGGAAGGTCTGTGCCAGCAGTCGCACAGAAGAGATCAGCAGGAGCCGCCTGCCAAGAGAATGAAACATGCCCTGGATCTCTACAACTGGGAGACACCAAGATATGAATAAAATCAAAGACGTAGAGAAAGTTTCTCACTTCCCTCCCTGACCATATAAATTTCAGGTTTCTTCAGTGTTGAAGATGTATCAATATATATATGGTTATACCGCTATTTGTCACAAATTAAAACACCATCACTTCCATGACTGTCACTCCTGAACTGCCTCTGCAGCTGTTCATCCAAAATCTTCCTGTGACAGCACCAAAATCTTAATGAGAGAGGCAAACAGAGGCTTTCAGAGCAATTGCAGGGAAATCTTGTTTCCTCTGCGGCTACTGAAGTTCAAGGTGATTTAAACGTAGCTGGTAATGGAACAACACGAGTGACTAGAAACTATTTGAGTCTGATTTCCTATAGGAAAGGGTTTATGTGATCACGACATCTGTGTATCACCCATAATAACATCCAAAATGTTGCCCAATTGCAAGAAGAGTTGATAGAGGAATAGAGGTTTCAAAGATAATGAAGTACCTGCAAAAATCCTTCCCCTGGTCTCTGAAAAAAGGACGTCCACATAGCAGCAGATCACACATTACATGGCATTTTAGACTTTCTACCTACCCCATCCCATAGGAAAAAAGTGTAACTAGTGCTTATGCCTCAGCTGCCATATATAAATCACGGAATACGCAGCCCCGTGACTTTCTTCCGCTGATAATAAGAGTACTGGTGTGTGGGAGAGGACTCAGACGGTTGAGTTTTTCTTTTTAAATTAAAACATTTTGAACTTTTTTTTTGCCAGTTTGACATTCAAAACACCCCCCAGCCCTTGCTGCACAGGAGGGAGAACAGTGTATTTTTAATTGCCAAGCAACTTGGTTTTCCTTCAGCACGAAGAGTGAGCTGGCTCTCGGAAAGCCCGGGAAGAGGAAAGACACAAACCCTCTCTTTACTCCTTAAAGCAGGATGGCCAGCCATATGGTCACATGTGATGCAGCTGGTTTTGAATGCATATAGGTAGGGACATGGGGAAAGTCAGTGAAAGCTGAAATCCAGCACGAGGGAAAAGCTGTGCTGGGCTAAGCAAACAAGTGCAAAGCAACTGGTTTCCTTCCCAGTCAGCCAAATGGATGAAATTTTCCACCCCATTCCCCTGAAAAATCAGATGTGGAACACAATTCAGTGACAAGAGATGGATGCTCTGGATGGGAAACAGCTGAGGAGCCAGGTTCTGCCCTTGGGCTAAGCGTGGAGCTAAAGGGTCCCCTTCCAATGAGAGACAGCTTCATCAAAGCAAGAGCACAGCTTGCAAAAACCAGAGAAAGCATGCCTTTCTGCATGCTTTAAAGAATGTGATGTCATTTTTTATTTGTTTGAGTAGAAAAATTGCATTTCTGTGACACCATATATGACATAAATCTTGGGTGACTAAATGGAAAGCTGCAGGACTGTCTCCACTCTGCAGAAGGACTTTAAAAAGGCAGGGTTTTTTGTGGTCATCAGGAAGAGATACAACTTTGAACCCATTTAAGTCATACCTTATTAAAAATGCAAATTAAGACCAAAACATCAAAAGACAGGCATCCCGCCAATTGCGTTGAGAAGCTGTAAATTGCTAATCAGACAAGTACTACACTGAGCTTTTCTTCCTTTAAAAGACAAAAACCCCCATGCACAATGAGCTGCATAAATGAGCTCCTCAAAACAAGGAAGCAATCAGGCAACTCACTTCCCGAAGTTGCTAATCTTGGGCTGCTGAGTTACTTCTGACCCACCATGTGCAGCTGCACGGTGAACACAGACTTGCTGCATTACAAGTTTAGACTCTGCTGCTATTAAGCAAACGAGCTGCTTCAGGGCTTAGTACAAGGCAGAGCGGATTATCCGAAAATCTGCGGATGCAGGGAATGCTGCTCAAAACCCCCTTGCTTCTTCCAAGAGTCACACCAGCATATTCAGTGCTCATAACAAGCTCTGTGGTGCTGCTTTCCTTTACTTTTTAATTTCCTCCTTTTCCACAGAGACAAGTCACTATATTCACCTAAAGCTTTTCCCAAGTAATAAAGACTACAAAGAGTTTACTCTATTTTCTGCATGAAGAGAAATCAAACACTAAACGATCCCCGGTGTGCATTAAATATAACCAATAAACAATCATTAGCTGCCATTGGACCATAAAATTTGAAGAGTCCTAAACATATCATGTTGTTCATGGGAGCTCAGTGGTTTGTTTCACGTGGCTATACAGCCTCCTTGTCTGGGTGTGGTAATGGGATATGTATGCACAAGACATGCCTTTCAAGGGTGCAATATAGGTTCTGGTTAATGCAGTCCAGCATCCACATCGCTCATGCTTCCTCCTTCAAATACCCAGCATGAATGCTAAAAATAAAACAAGTTCAGTGGAGCCACCCAAGACAGACTGTATTGTTAGAAGCTATTTTCTGAGCAACGTTAACATGCATAAAATGTCAGTGGCTGGCTGATGGACTTGGAGGCTGTGTACATACGCTGGGCTTTCATTTTGCTTTCTGACAGCTGGATTGCTTACCACGTATATCCTGCTTTATAGCATACCAGAAGAGGGGAAAGGTGGGGAGAAACAATAGAGAGATTCCTGTCATGATGAATTTGATCACCAGTGAATGAATACACCTACAAGTACGTTTTCTAAAATATATGGAACCATTCAAAGCATAGCTGCTTTCCTCTGAGATTTGTAAGAGGCATTAATATTAAACACAGGACAGTCTGGGAATATGGAATAGCTTCTTGCTGTCGATTTTGGATGGCCTGCTACTTGAGTGAGCCCTCTCAAAGGGAGGCTGCTAAAGTCTTAAACCAGCTTTCACTAAATTTTAGACACAAGTTATTTTCAAATACTAACAACAAACACAAATGCTTATTTCCATCTGCATTTCGCAGCTTTGCCCACCATGACGCTTGACACCAGATCCGGCCAGGAGATGGACGGATTTGGTTAACACACAGGACGAGGCACATGATGTAACTTTTAAAAACTGCAATCCTAGTATCTTTTTTTTTTTTTTTTTTTCAGCAAAACTTGAGATGTGGCCATTTCAGACTCAGCAGTTGAAGACCTGGCTTGTAATAAATGGTGACATGAGCATTGCCAGAACACTTCAGCAATGTTGGGGGACCACACTGTCTGCAGTGGGGCTTCCTGCTTTTCACCTTTACTTTAGAAATTACAATCAGAACAAGGTGAGGTGCAACATTTCTTATTTATTTGGGGGAAAGGGCCAAACACAGCTCAGCCTGCTCACATGAATAGTCCCTGCTGGCCTGAACGGGATGATCTTTTAATGGAATCATTACGCTGCTGCTTGGTGATAAAAGCAAATTAATATCCTAATACAAGTGGTTTGAACTGCTCTTAAACAAAAAAAATAGTAAAAGGAAAAGGATTCATTCCAATCCTTGGAATATGAAGTATAAGAGAGTATCTTTACTGGTCAGCTGCTCCAAAACACCAATATGAACACTAGGACATGGGATGCTTCAGAAAATCACAAGCACTAAGCGATGAGCAGAGAAATAGAAAAAGGAACAACTGCCTGTTCTTGGCTATGTAATCTGGGCATGTGTTGCAGGAGGGTTGGATTTAGAAAGGAAAATGAAATCAAGAAAACCTACATTGGGTGTCTAAGCAAATCATTCTGAGATGTATGAATGGTGGCACCAAATGCCAGGCAAAACCCAAATAACACTAACAGCTCCATAAGTCCTGCGTAAACAAATGCAATAAATAATGGAGGGAGGCAAGTAATATATTCCAGAGGATGTTTTACAAAACCCGGCAAAACCAAGCAACTTCTTGCAATCAAATTATGTATGCCTGGCATATAGTTCGCTACAAATTCTAATCAGTTCTACCCTTCTAATAACATTATACAGAAAAATACATGATCATCCATCAACCAGATGGAGCATGATAGTTATACAAAATATATTGTATGTTTTTTATTTTCCACTATGAGAACGTGATAATATTGTGCACTCTGGAATTAGAGATTATAAATAAGTATTTTAGGCTCTGCAAATCTCTGTAAATATTTATTTGCAAAATATTATATATACATGTTTAATCATTAAAAATACTACTTTATGCTGCGGGGAGGGAGAGAGATTTTACTGGCACAGACATAAAACTGCTGCCTCCTCAACACAAAGATAGTAAAGTTTTGTTGTTCGCCTTCAGCGAATTTCAGCCAAACTTTCCGCCTGCACCTCCCATGCCATGGAAACATTTGGGCACCCAAGGTCTATTGGGAAAAGGCAACGTGTCCCATGGAACCTATTTATCTTTCTGTGCTTCAGAAAGGTCCATATACTCATTTAACAGGAGTGGAAAAATTTCAGCAACACAAAGCTGCTATGGCACTTTACAGGAGCTGTGGTTAGGGGCTGTATGTTCCCTCTCTCCACAGCCAGCCTGCTGCATGCCACTATCTCCCACAACCTACGCTGGCACTCGGGTCGTCCCTACAGAGCATCATGAGGGACTTTGCAAAGATGAGGGCAGATGCAAATCCACTGCTGTCTCCCATCCGAAGCGACATCCTGGGCTTGAGGATGTCCTTTTACTCCGAGAATGAAGTAAGACATTTTCAACACTCAACAGCTACAAAGCACTATAAGAGAATGCAATTGGTGCTAGCTTTCATCGCAAACTAGCTGCAATGCTGGATTTTCTTGGTAGGCAGCCCAAAATGTTGAGGGAGAAGTTAAAAGGATCGCTCTGGGGCTACAAGCCCTGCAACGGTAATGCTGCAGAAGTCACACCGTGAACAGCGTGGAAGGCAGCAGCTAAACCACCAGACTTTGAACCGGACCGACTGGTGAGGACACAGTTCCGGTGATGGCAGATGTGCGGGAGCATCCAGCTGGCTTTCTAGGGAGCCGGACTGACGGCTCTTTGGCTGTAACATGTTTGATGCTCAACGTGCCCCTTGTAGGCCACTGTGACGAGACAGATCCTCTGTAGAAACACTATAGTAAGAATAATTTGTCTAAAGGGACAAGGTAGAATGTTTTAATACCTGATTCAGTGGGGACTTCTGCATGCTCAAACAGGGATGTGAACAGAAGAGTTGGTTGGGGCAGAAAGCAGGCAGCAGCTGATGGAAACATTCTTCTCCAGAAACTGTAATCAGCTGTTGTGTTACTTTTTCTTTGCCCCCTAGCCCTGTCAAAGTCAGTCAAACTACGTTGGATAAATTGGTAGAGATCCCTGAAAACTTAATCCCTCCTACCTTTATCTGTGTGGGCGATTTCCTTTCCAGAAAGCATGACATTTATACAAATTCAGGTTGTTATTCTCCTACTCATGGGAGGAACACGACGCAAGTATCCAGCTAGGATACAAGCCTACCTGCTGGCACAGTAATGGATCATAAGCAGCTCCACTGCTCTAGATTTGTTTCCACAAGGAATCAGGTTCATATATACCAATAAGGTTTCAGGCAAAAATGGTGCAGTTAAATTTAACAGAATATCAACTGCTGCTATGGCCTGACCTGATCTATGCTAAAAAAGAGCTTTAAAATTGCCACCGGCTCATTGCTATGTATGCCTTCAGATTGCGCCCTTAACTCAATTAAAATGACAGGGGAAAGCCAGCCTGACAAGGGAAAGCAAAACAAAAAAAGAAGTCAATAAGAACACATTGCTAGTGCTATTGTAACAAAGCTAGCGAAGAAAATCAAAGGCTCGATTTTCCCTTTGTTTTCCGTTAGACGGTGTTGCACGTTCATCTAAATTGTGCTTTGATACCAGCTTCAGCAATGTTGAAAACATTTAAGAATATTCATAATGAAAAATGGTATAACTGTTTTGATTTGCAAAGAATCTAATGCACTCCACAGTCACCACCTATTTTGCTTGCAGGCTCTGTTAATTTGATAGAACACTTAAAAAAGAGGAAGAAGAAAGCAGGATTTCATCATCCAAATGAGAAATACTCTTTGGTCAGAGAAGAAGGATGACCTTGCTGAAACACTAGAAAACTAAGACTTGGGACAGCCACTTCTGCTGATGTTATGCTGTGCTGTGATAAAATTTTCCCTGACTGACTTCCCCAAGAAAATACCTTTGCAAATCATTTCATATGGGGGAATATGTCCTGTATCATCATGGACTGTGCTGGAGACACAGAGATAAGCCAAGGCATGCCTCCTGGCTAAGCTCTGCCTGCACAAGCCAGTTCTTCACTTCCCTTTGTTGTCCCCATTCCCATCCCCCCCGACCAGGTCCAAGCAGTGCCAGGCCCCACTCACACTTTGTCCGTGCCATAGCTCCGGTAGTCCACTGCTGCTGATACAGCCACAATGAGTGCAGGCATGCCATAGCCTACCAAATAGAAGTACTTCCTTCGGGAGTGTTCACTCTCAAAAACCTCCACCAGCATGATGTAGAGCTGCACCCCCTCCAGAAACATCCAGGTGAAAGCTGCCAGGAAGAAGAAGTGCAGGAGGGCAGCAAAGACGGCACAGGCAATCTGCGTATGGATTGAAAAGAGCAAGGGAAGGTGTTTGTACCACGCTGAATTAATGCAACAGTCAGGATTACTCTTACTGGGTTTAATAAGAATGAGGGAGTTCTTATCTTCCCTTCTCCACTTTTTTTCACTTGGAAAACATCCACGAACTATTTTAAAATAGACACATCTCTGCATATATCAATTATATTCAAAGATACAAAGCTAGGTATGTACACAATCTGGCACATAAACACATAAAGATGTACATAGTATAAGTGCATTTTTACAACTTGTTTATTAAACATACACGCATGCAGTACATACTTACAAACAACACACATGCAGCCTCTGAAATCACAGCAGGCATCAGTGTTTGACTCCCAGTTAACAACCGGGGGCCTGGCCCTGTGAGGAATCATGCATGGAATTAAGGCAGCATGGAGTATATCTCACTGCATGGTCAAATATCCCGTACGCACTGAGATGAGAGCCTGTGGTTGCTTTCCCTCTTACCGGCTGGTCAGTCCGATTGATGCCAATGAGGAAGAGGAGTTCTGCCACGAAGAGGCTGATGCACAAGTTCTTGTGAATTGTGTTGCGGTCGCTCTGCAGCCCACGGAAGAAGCAGAAGGTGAAGATGCAGATCAGGAGGCAGACCAGTGACAACAGGATGCCAACCCATGTGATAAAGTCCAGGAGCAGGTCATGGACTGCATCGCTGTGCTGGAGATAAAACAAAATCATCAGTCGCATGCTGCACGACTTCTAATCCATCCCAGAGACAGAGTGAGGTTGTCTGAGACCCTTCCCCAAATATCTGCATCCACTCACTAAGCTGTGGCACATGGGACCAGCAGCAAAAAGACTAAATGGACCTAGACTTGAATCCTGCATCAAGAAAGCTGCAACCTCAAACACAGACTCCAAATTTTCTGGCAAGCTGCAGGTGCCCTGAACAGACTCAGACCTCAAAATATCTTAGAAACAATGATGCTGTTGTTGAAAAAAACAAGATGTCATAGTTAGTCTTGCATGCAGCTCCATCTTTTGCAAACACGGCAAAGGAGCAAACACACAGTATAAAGAATCATCGAACATTGTGATTTGAGTGTAAAAATGTTTCATGCTAACAACATTGTGGAGATTACAACCACAAGTCCATTACAAACATTTACCAACAGTGAAAAAAGACTGCCTTTAAATGCTTACAGGGTCATATGAGCTTGGAGGCTTTGGACAGAAAGAGATCACTTAAATGTCTTCATTTTGTGGTTTGTTTTTTTTTTTTTTTCCACCAGGGAAGGAGACAGAAAGTTTGACTTTTCATTTTCAAACTCTGTCGTGGTTTGGCTGGGATAGAATCATAGGCCATGCTAGGTAGGCCATCAGCAGTTCCAAGCCAGCCAAGGCAGCTGACCTGAGTAAACTACAGGTGTAGCCCATACCATAATGTCATGGTCATTATAAAGGGGGAGAGTTTACTAAGGGGAGAGAAGTCCTCTGGGATTTCTGCTGGTATCCTTCCTGTTTATCCCCTGGTTTCTCCCAGCTCCTTAGGGGTGCTCTCCTGTCAGTTGGTACTGATATTTATTGGGCTGAGCATAACTTTGCATACCTTTGTTGATACTGGTGTTGTTTCATTAAATCTGTTTTCACTTCAACCCAGGGGTCTGCTCTTGTTTTCCTGATTCCCCTCCCTGGCTGGTGAGGGGTTATTGGGTGATAGAGTGACTGTTACAGTTTAGCCCCGGGTACAGGCTAAATGTAGATGCTCTGGAGCTATATCTTAAAACTCCTGGGAGGTCAGACTCATCCCTGGAACACCAGCCAGAAAAAAATACAGACCTTTTAACATGAATTTGCTTTTAATCTGTAACAGAACAGTGCTTTTAAGACAGCTGGAAAGTAAGAGATTCTCTATGATGAATTTATAATATGGTTTTACCCCGGAGCCATGCAAACATGGTCATTGCACTGGTAAAGCCAGGCAACTTAGCAACGAAGTTTTGTGAGGGGTGGCACAGGTGTGCCTTGGGTCTGCTGATAAAACACTGCTGGACTGCTTTTGGGCTTACACTGCATGTCCCTCCCAGAAAGAGGTGGGGGTGCTAGGCCCCTGACACTGAGGATATCCCACCACCTTATTCAGGCTGTAAAACTTGCCTATAACTCTCCAGGTTGCCAACAGATGCAGTGAAATTAGAGATATCATTACTTAGCAAAATGCAAATACGAAATGAAAAATACATGGTAAATCACTAGGTATCTTCTCAGGGCTAAGTGGTTAGAGTCAAAGAACTGAGCAAAAGATTGGCTGGAAATCTCTGAGGTCTTTTCAAAAAGACCAGAGAGGCTTGAAACCCAGCTTTGTGGTCTACCAGGCTGTGTTATAAGTGGTATTCACATTCCCCTCCACTTCTGGCATTTGATAACTTGGGCATTATATAGGCTGGCAAATACAATAGTGTCACACTTCAAAAAGCCAGGACAAACTGGAAACATTCTCCTCCCTGTGGGATAAAAGCTTATGACAGATGGAGGGAAAAGGTGATTAATTTATCCATTTTCTTTGCCTGCTTGCCAATGATAAAGCCACATCAAATGTCAGGCCTTTCCTGATATATACTCTGCTATGTCAGCACTTGTGAGAAACAACTCAAACCTTTCAGCTCTTTGGCTTTATCAGCATGAGTGATAGGCATCAAATGATAATGAAAGATGAGGAGTGACTTTCTGCTCCATCTCTTCCATGCTGGAAGTTTTCTCTCTGGGGAGACTTGGAGGTGGACAGATGATGGCTCACTTCTCCAAATGCTCTTGCAGCTCTTCCTGAGTATTTCCAATATGTAATGAACTACGGGTTGCAAGTTTAACAGAGGCAAGAAAACATTGTGTGCTTACTGTGGATCATGACAGAAATGCCTATTCCAGCCAGTTCTTCCAGCAGCACCCAGAAAACTGAGAAGACGAAGCGCACGTCCTTTTCCTGGCAGATGCGTATTGCTTTATCTCAGTGTCATTCCAGCTCATCTATCCCTCTTAACTCAGTGCGAAAAAATGTTAATGCAAACCTTGCACCTTGCAAATCATTCTTTCTTTCATCTGAGGCTGCTGGGGAATGGCAGGAGAACATGTCCCTGAACAACCCTGCCAGCTCACCTGATTAGACCACCCTGTCAGGCTTACGTGACCAAGAGGCTGAGGATATCTTGGGCTGGGGGAGCAAGGGCAAGGCGGATAATGCGGGCAGATGCAAGCAGAAGGAAACCACGTCAGATGCATCCATCCCATCCAGATGTGACCAATGGCACAGATTCACCTATCCCAAGACAAAGCCAGCCTTGCACAGGGAAAGCTCTCCAAGGGCTTCTGTTCCTACATGAGATGAATCTCATAGGTCTCAGTCCCTGTACCTCTATCATGAAACTATAACTTTGCTGACTTTAAGACACAATGCAGGAATTAGGAGTGGTTTTGCTCCTGGGGAGGGACCCTGACATCTAGGTTCATGGTCTTCCTCAGGGAAGGGCTGCTTGCCTGCAAAGCTCACCATGCTTAGCAAGAAACGCAGATTTCATTGCTGTATTATCACTCTTACTACTCTTTAATATTAATTGTAATGATAATACTGATTTCATGTAGGTAACACCCATCCCTGGGGTGCTGGGAAACAATGATAAAAAGAACTCCATAATTACAACCTCCCTCCCCAGACTCAACAAACTCACAAAAGAACAAACAAAAAAGGAATAATAACAATAAACTGGGAACAAGAGCAATTTAAAAACAGCTTGGGGGAAAAAAAAATAGGAATTTGTAGCTTTTCTAGTGAAATCCAAAAGAAGGAGTGAGCTGGATTTCAAAGGCTGGGTGAGTTCTGTCCTGCTTGGAATGCCCAATTTCAGATGTTGTGGCAGAGCTAATGGGTCAGAGGGGAGGTGGTAAGCACTGGCATGTTTCCCATGGCAGTGCCACCTGCCCTCAGGCCAGGCACATCCTGAGCTTTTACACCAGAAAGTCCAATAAAAGGGAACTGGCCTTTTGCTGGAGGCTGAAACTTGTAAAATACTACACTGCCACAGGCCACGAAACAGAATAACACGGGAAAAGGAGGAATTGTGGTAATCACTCCTCAATGCCATGAGATTATCCTTGCCATCACCCCATTTCTATGTGACAAATGAGGGAGCAATGTACCTGGTTTATACAGTTGGTATATGGTGTTCCAGAGTTAAGTATGATAAATAGTACACCAAAATTTTGTACCTAGGTAGCAGTCTCCAAGCCGGGTCCCTCAACCGCAGAGACACGCAAGAGGAGCAAATCTTCTCTTTACCCTGCCCAGCATCGTTCAAGCACTCCCTGACTGAGGATAAAATAGCTTTGCCATAGGTGCTAATGATATTCTTCCAGCACTCCACATGCCCTAGAGTCTCCAAGGCACGCAAAATAAATCTGAAACCATCAGTGTATTAATAACAGTCAACTCTTGCTTCTTGATCATCTCCCCAAAGACCTGGGCAACCAGAAGAGCCCATGGGAGATACCAGCTGTCAGTTCAAGGGACAATTTCCTGACAGCATTAACCAATCACCTCCTTGCCCAAATACACCATGGCTGTCAAGTTCAGTGCTACATGGCCCATCATGCAAGCCATTGCTTTGTTACCACTAAGCTATGCTAGCTTTACACGTAAGCTGACATGTAGATTATTTTCAGCACAGGAATGACTTACTGATTAATTGAAAGAAATAAAATAATCCACTTCAGTGAGAGGTTTTCTATATTAAGTACATTTTACATTTATGATTTAGGCATGAGCCTGACCCAAAGCCCAGTGAAAGAAGTTTTCCCTGGCTTTGGAAAAAAGCCGCACATTTGCTCCAGTGGGGCCAAGAGCATCAGGAGGAGAGCACTGATGGAAAACTGTGCCAGAGGAGTTACGGGAGCCCTGGTAGCAACCACAGCAGGGTAAGCAGGCAGCCTAGATATCATCCAGGCTGGGAAAATCAATGAGCAGCTCTGGCAGTGCCTGTACACCAGAGCTAAGCTAATAAAAACAAATCCCAGGGAATGTCAGCTTATGACAGAATGGCTCTCCCTGAGATGAACAGCCATTTCCTCCCTTATTAAAAACATCAGCAGAAGAAAACAGCAGCCAAAGCAAGCTGCCAGCAGCAAAGGACACATTCCTTTGCCTAATCTGTCCCTCCAGGAATAGAGAGTAATATGTTTGGGGGTGGAGGAATAAGCAAGCAGTAAATAAAAACACAGTGTCATCAACTAGCTCAGATATGACCGCTTGGTGCCCGGTGGGAGCTGGCAGTGTGCTGGGCTGGGCAGAGACCCAAGTGGGACAGGTTTGAACTCCTGTGCATTGCTGATGCTGCTCCTTAGATTTGTAGCTATCTGGGGATGTGCAGGCTCCCTCTGCCCTTCTTCCCCCATCACTGGTGTTAAGAGAGGATTACTGCTACAGCCTGGCTGTAATGCTTCATGGCTAAGTGCAAAGGGCTACATAAGAGGCAAATCATTTTTGTAGATGTGCCAAAAGCATCAGCTGGGCTACAAGGACCATGAGGAAACTCCAAGGGCTCCTGCAGCATTGCCTGCTGTGGCTATGTAGGCATGAGAGGTTTTGAGGGGGCTTTCCCCTCTCTATGGCCAAGAGAGACATGTTTGGGGGGGATCCCACTGCTCTAGCACCCACCCTCTCCCTCTTC